ACCAGCCAGGAAGGTTTTCAAAGGTAAGTTAATTTATTTATTTTTATTTATTATATTGTATTATATTACAGAATTGTAATCGTTTTTATATGAATATTTTTGCGTTGTGGAACGAATCATCTGAGTTTCCATTATTTCTTATAGGGAAATTTGCTTTGATATACAAGTGCTTTGGATCACAAGCATGTTTCTGGAATGAATTATGCTCGCAAACCAAGGTTTTACTGTATTATATTTCTGCTAACTGGCAACAGAACAGATCTGGAAAATAAAACACATATTTTCCAGAATAGGTAAAACACAGCATTCACCAGTGGAACTTAACCATATGGAAACACCTCCTAGAAGAGGTGGAGACCACAGAAAAGTAGAGATCATGGAGCTGTTGTGGTTCCAACAAGCTACATTTTCTGTGTGGTCCTGTGGACCTCAGTTCACAGGACCTCAGTTCCTAGTCTGCATGGCAGACAAACTTGTACCTCAGTAGAGGGTGTCTGCAGGAATGTGTCCTTTCTAACAATAGATTTAGATTCTTCCAAAGAGTGGCCAAGTAGATGATCTTCACCTCACTCGGGGCTTCTGAAAGGAGATCCCCACAGAGCTTGTGGAAATGCAGCCTGGATTACACTGTGGATATCCTCTACAAGGTGTTATTTAAAATGAAACAACTGGGGCACCTGGGTGGCGCAGTCGGTTAAGCGCCCGACTTCAGCCAGGTCACGATCTCGCGGTCCGTGAGTTCGAGCCCCGCGTCAGGCTCTGGGCTGATGGCTCAGAGCCTGGAGCCTGTTTCTGATTCTGTGTCTCCCTCTCTCTCTGACCCTCCCCCGTTCATGCTCTGTCTCTCTCTGTCCCAAAAATAAATAAACGTTGAAAAAAAAATTAAAAAAAAAAAAAAAAATGAAACAACCTAGCCTTTAGCAAAACTAAAATGGTAAAAGTTAAAATGGTAACTAACTCTACATTTAAAATTTTGAGTAACTACCACACTGTTTTCCAAAACAGTTGCAGCATTTGATATTCCCACCAGCAGCATATGAGGGTTCCAATTCCTCCACATCCTCACCAATACTTGTTATTCTTTTCAGTTTTAGTCATCCCCTAAGTGTGAAATGGTAACTCACTGTAGTTTTGATTTTCATTTTCCTAATGGCTAATGGCACTGAACATTTTTTCATGTGCTATTGGCTACTTACATATCCTTTATGAAGAAATAGCTTTTCAAATTCTTTGCTCATTTTAATTGGGTTCTTTGTCTTTTGATTAAGTCATAAGAGTTATTTGTACAAGGAATACAAATCCCTTATCAAGTATATAATTTGTAAATATTTGTGCCTATTCTGTGGTGTCCTTTGTTTTTGTTTTTCTTTTCTTTTGTTTGTTTGTTTGGGGGGGGTAAGGGGGAGGGAAAGAGAGAATCCCAAGCAGGTTCCACACCCAGCACAGAGCCTGATGTGGGGCTCAATCTAAACAACTGTGAGATCATGACCTGAGTTGAAATCAAGAGTCACTCACTTAACCACCTGAGCCATCTAGGCACCTGGTCAATGGTGTCCTTTGAAGCCCAAATTTTTAATTTGTATGAAACCAAGTTTGTCTATTTTTTCCTTCTGTTGCTCATGCTTTTGGTATCATGTGTAAGAAACCACTGCCTAAACTGATTACAGAAATGTACACCTGTTTTCTTCGAAGAGTTTTATTGTTTTAGCTCTCACATTTGAGTCTATGATCCATTTTAAGTTTTTGTGTATGTGAGGCAAGAATTCAAGTTCTTTCGTTTGCATGAGGATCCAGTTGTCCCAGCACCATCTGTTGAAAACATTATTCTTTCCCATCATAATCATTCTTTCTAATGAAAGCAGCTCTTTTTTCTAAAAGTTTTTTATAAGGATAAACTGTATTAGTCTAGGGACCATCCTAATGACCTTATTCTTAACTTTATCATTCACAAAGATCCTCTTTCCAAATAAAATCACATTTGTGTGTACTTACTGGGGGTTAGGACTTCAACATCTTTTGCAGGAGATTCAATCAACCAGTAAGTATGTATATTTTATATAAATATTACCCAGTTATGTCCTAAAGGGATGTACTAACTAAGACACAGGGTAATACTGTGTGAATGGGGGCAGAGTCTCCACTAAAGGAAGTAGATACTATATCATTCTCCTGATTGGTGGGTGTAGTAAAAGACAGGCCTAAGATGGAGTTGGGAAGGAAACTTCCTCTCCCTGCACCTTGTCTTGGGGCCTAGACTCTGAGGAATTAAGGCATGTTTAAGGTGTTTCTTGGTGTTAGAGAAAACCTGGGTTCTTCCTTAAGGGGAAAGAATGTTCTCTGAATAGAAATGCAGTCTTATGGAGGCCCCAGGAGGACAGACTAGGAACTGAGGGCTTTAAGAACGATAGCTAGTAGCCAATTGTAAGTTATTCTTTGTGTGGAAGCCCCTCAAAATCCCCAGCCTTTAGCAAAGTCTTATTAAACTCATAATCCGGTCTAATACCAGAGAAAAAGTCTATACTCATGCTTGGACTACAATGCTAAAGGGAGGCAGAGGAATAGTGGTGGACCATGGGTATGGTCAGGAACCAAAAGTTGTGACAGTGTGCACTCACAATGGTTGTCAACTGCAGCAGCCCTGGCTGACACAGAAGCCTCATGTGAAGCCATTGAGAATGGCTAATAACAGACTCTGAGTATAGCATTGCTTCTGATGTGATGTAATTTGTACCAACTCCTGGCTAAGATATTCAGGCTACTTAAAAGCATTGCTACTGATGGCTCAAATGACTGAAAGTATTAATCATTTCAGAAACTGCTCTATATGATTGAAACTATTTTAAATTCACTAAAGAAAAAAATGGACTTTTCAAGAAGCAAAGCTAACTCATTTTGTAATTGCCCACACTATCCTGGTTATGACATCAGTATTTAGGGGCCAGCCTTTCTTGAACTCTTAAAAGTGAGTACAGCTGAGACCAAGGACCACACTTGGAGAACCACTGCTGGAGAAAATTTTGTCTCAAATGTGTAGCATCCTGAGGCTGATGGGGGCACCTGTCCTGGCCAAGACAGTCCAGCACCTATTCAGATTATCTCATGCATAGCTGCCAGCCATAGTCATGGCCATCCACTATTGCCTCTTATTCTGGAGAGAGTCCGATATTGAGAAAACACAGCTACCTCTCTGCCTTGTATCCTCACTGCACGACTTCCAATAAGTCCCATGGATGAGAAAACTCTGTTGGATCTTCCCAGGTGATATGTTTGTCTAGTCTTTCATTTCTCTGACCCTAATATTTACAAATGTTATGAAAGTGATCAAGCAGGTAATGTCAACAAAAATCTATACTAAACATAATCTCAATTATGAAATACTAGATTTTTTTAACATCAGGGAAATAAAAAGAACACTTGCTATCGCCCCTTCTCTTCAACATTCCATCTACAGGAGGTTTTGGCCAGCACAGAAGACAGAAGAATAAAACAAAGTTTAAGTATTGGCTGAAAGTCACCCTGTCAAGCCATTTCACTGGGAGTCCTGTAATGGCAGCATCTTTAGCTCTCTCCTCTTGAGCTGGTCATACTATCAGAGATGACCATTCCAAACAACTTCAAGAAGAGCAATGACAGGTGGAGGTCCCAACATCCAGAGTGTCAGTGACCACCGGTGTTCTTTCCAGTGCCTACCAGAACCTTCAAATTAGCCTCTCCTTCTCTAGTCCCAAGATCTGCTCTTCATGGTCATAACTAGTTCCAGCTTGGACAGGGGAGGGCAGTGGCTCAGGGTCATGCTCAAACTCTCTCCCCACGCTCCCCATGATGGCCTCTGCTCCTCACCAGCTCCAGAGGGACTTGGCACTGCTGGGCCCTAACTTTCCCAGGTTCTGCAATGTCAATTGTGATGCTTCCAGTCCCCTGCTACAGCCTAGGCTAGAGCACTGTCAGACGGTTGAGGAAATGTTCCATTCTGTGGAGAAGGCATTCATCTACCCTCTTTCCAGGACTCCCTCCAGATGTTTACTGTCCTGAACATTCTTGTACATGTCTCCTGAGGCACACATGGAAAAGCTTCTCCTTGGAAAGACTGGTAGGAAGCAAGGCCACACTTTTTCAAAGCAGTTTTACTAAAGACAGAACCATACACACCATAAAAGACATCTTGAATTTCCTTGCCTTCCCCAACACTCAGTATCTGGACTGGACTGACTTTCATACCCAGCCCCTGTGTACAATTTTATGTGGGTCAGTACGGAGAATAAAGCGGCAAGTAGGACACGCCCCACACCCCGCATGACAAAATTCCTTGCAGCATGGTCACATGCATATTTGAGTACATGTTTAGAAGTTCTCCCTGACACAACTGGAGTGTACTTCCTACTACACACGTATGAACTTTGTTGCAGGGTAACTGAAGGTTCAATTCCCAAAAATAAAAAACTTAAACTAAAGGCCTCTGGGACTTGTAGTTCTGCCGCAGCAGCTGGGCACTGTGTGCTCTGGTATCCGTAGTCTCAGGCAAGCTCTGTGCAGGTGGAAGCAGTGTTGCGTGCGCCTTTTGTGCACAGCGTTCCAGGAGGCAGTGTTTGGACCCGTCCATGACCTTCACTTGGAAGGAGTGAGGGCAACTGGACCAGGCCCAGAGGACCCCATTCTGGGGAGTGCGTGTGGAGACCTGCAGACCCCCGGTCTCACTGGAGCATGCAGTTCCCAAATCAGAGTTGACCTAACAGCTGAGGCACTGGTAAGAGACAGAGAGAGAGGTCTTTACTGAAGCACCTGTCCTGGTGACAGGTTAAACGCAAGAGTAGCCAGCTTTGTCTCAGAAGGACTTGCTTCAAGACTCACTCAGGACACCAGAAGGTCCTGCAGGTTGAGGCAAGCCAGAGATCAGGAATGGTTGTTGGAAATGCAGGAAGGGTACTTGAGACCAGTTACAGTCTCCCACAAGGAGGCCCTCCTGGAGAAGATGAGCCTTGAATACAAGTGGCTGGGGACAGATGAAGAGTCTGCACTCAAGGGTTTTACAGAAGCAAGACACTGCAGGAGATGCTTTCCATGACTGTGACTCACATGGGACCATGTAAAGGCACTTTGGTTCATGCAGAGTAGATCCTAAACAAATGCAAAGAATGCAGGAAAGCATTTAACAAGAATTGCCTCCTTGTCTGACATCAGTGCATTCACACTGGAGTGAAACCTTAAGAATGCCACAAGTGTGGGAAAGCCTTTCATGAAAAGGTAGACTTTGACAAATGAGGATTCACACTAGAGAGATGTCCAATAAGTACATCGAGTGTGGAAAGGTTGTTAGCCCCATGCTGACATCCATGTACACACCTCATGTATCACCAGCAGATCCACCCTGGCAAGAAGCCCTATAAGTGCAGTGAATGTAGAAAGACCTTCAACTATCACTGTTTTTGTCCTGCGTAGCATGACCCAGCCTCCGGGTGCAACAAATGTGGGAATGCCTTTCACCACAACTCTGCTTTCACTCAATACAAGAGGATTCACACCAGACAGAAGCCCTACACGTGCAGCGAATGTGGAAAGACCTTCATCTACCACTCTGTTTTTATTGGACATGGCATGACCCACAATGCACAAAAGCCTTATGAGTGTAAAGACTGTGGGAAAGGTTTTTACTACAGTGTCTCCCTCACTCAACACATCAGGAGTCACACTGGAGAGAAGCCCTATGAGTGCAGTGAATGTGGAAAAGCCTTTGCCTACCCTCCTCCTTTTAGTCCACATGCAAAAGGAGGCACATGAGGATCCGCCCTAGAGAAAGAAAACGCTGAGTACAAATAGTGTGAGAAGGCCCTTTGTAACAGCTTTTCCTTCCCTTGACACCCAAGGAGTGATGCTGGGGTGACTCTCTGAATGCAGTGAATACAGGAAAGCCTGAAGCTGCTGCTCACTGCTCACTCAGCATTGAAGGATTCATGTTGGAGAGAAACTCCTTGAGCATTAAGATATGTGGGAGGGCCTTTGCACGTGCCTACCTCAGTCAACATCCAAGAACTTATACAGGGAAAAGGACTTTTGAATCTAACTACTATGGAAAATCACTTGGTCACAGAAAACCTCTTACTTGACATCCGAATATTCATGCGGGAGAAAGACCTCTTGGTTGTAGGGCACTTAGAAGAAAGGTCAGTCACACTTCTCTCCATAGGTGTCACTGAGCCCATTTCAAGATTACTTCAAAAAACAAGGAGAAAGGGGTCGCCTGGGTGGCTGAGTCAGTTAAGGGTCTGACTCTTGATTTTGGCTCAGCTCATCATCTCACATTTTGTGAGTTCAAGCCCTGTGTCGGGCTCCATGCTGACAGTGTGGAGATTGCTTGGGATTCTCTCTCTCTCCCTCTCCCTCTACTGCTCCTGCATTCTCTCTCTCTCCTTCTCTCTCTTTCTCTCTCCCCCTCCCCTGCTCATGCTCTCACTCTCTCTCAAAATAATAAACAAACAAACAAAAAAGAGCAAGGAGAAGGGAGGAAGCAGGAGAGAAAACAAAAACAAATGAGTGCACGGCTTCTCTCATACTTCTCTGAAAGCCACGCCCAAGGAAATGTGCATACATTTCTTTCCTTGGGGATATCTGAAAGCTAACAGGGCCTGGCCCTTTATTTGTCCTTTATATACATATTCACTTACAGCTAGTGACAGGAGAGTTGGACAGTTGAGAGTCGCTCTATAAGGATTTGTTGAACGCACTCTTTATTCCAAAACGCTGCCTCTAGTCTTGATGAGCATAAGTCTTTGTGAGCAATATGAAGGCTTAAGTCATGAAATACTTGAAATTTGTAAAAAGTTAGAATATTTAAAATAGTGCCACATAAGATTATTTTATAATTAAGGAGATAAGGATCTACGTATTCAACTGCCTGTGAAACTTCCTGCATCATTTAAGATTTAGATGATTTTGGGGTGACTAGGTGGCTCCGTTGGTTAAGTGCCAGACTCTTGATCTCAGCTCAGGTCTTGATCTTTGGGTCATGAGTTTAAGCCCCATATTGGCCCCCACACTGGGCATGAAGCTTACTTAAAAAAAAAAAAAAAAAAAAAAAAAAAAGGGGCACCTGGGCGACTCAGTCAGTTAAGCATCTGACTTCAGCTCTGGTCATGATCTCATAGTTCATGGGTTTGAGCCACATGTCAGGCTCTGTGCTGACAGCTCAGAGCCTGGAGCCTGCTTCGGATTCTGTGTCTCCCTTTCTTTCTGCCCCTCCCTCACTTGCACTCTGTCTCTCTCTCTCACTCTCAAAAATAAATACTTTTTTAAAAAAAGAGAGACTATTTAAGATTTTAGTTTTTTAAATGTTTATTTATTTATTTTTTAGAGAGTGAAAGAAAGTGAGTAGGGGAGAGGCAGAGAGAAAGGGAGAGAGAGAGAGAATCCCAAACAGGCTCCATGCCTAGCACGGAACCAAAAATAGGGCTCAATCCCACAAACCGTGAGATCATGCCCTGAGCTAAAATCAAGAGTCAGATGCTTAACTGACTGAGCTAGCCAGGATCCTCTAAGGTATTTTTTTTTCTAAATCTTTGGTTTTGAACACCCAGCACTCTCAGTTTTTCTTAACTTCTGTCTACTTGCTTTGATTCATTTTGTCAGGGACACAGGGATGGTCCTGGAGCTGTGTGACTTTAGCGGGTGAGCCTAAAGTCTTTCCCTCACATTTTCTCAGCATCTTTAGTCCTCTGTGAGGGGCTTCTCCAAAACCATGTCAGCAGTTTTCTAGAGGTTAAATTGGAGCTAAAACAAACTAAAGAAAATCTAGCTAACTTTAAGGAATTTTTTTTTTAAATTTTAATGAATACAATATATTCATTAAATATAAATATATAGGTCCTTTGACATATTAATTCAATTTCTAGAAATCTACTCAAGAGAAATATTCTGACAAATGTACAGAGATATGTGTATAAAAATAATTGCTATAAATTTGTTTTTATAAATGAAACATTGAAAACAGCCTAAGTGTGTATCAGTAAAGAAATAATTATGGTATATTTGTTCTATGAAGTACTATGGAAGGACAATCTATCTCTGTTAGTACTGAGGTTAACATATCTCCCAGATACAGTGTTAAGTAAAAGAGCATGATGCAGGAAATAAAACTAGATCAGGAGGGAGAAATGTAATGCTATTACCAGTGGCTCTCAGTGGGAAGTGGAATCCATCAGGGGTGTAGGGAACTTTCAGTTTTTACTTTATTTACTGAAATATTGTTTGCAAGTTCTTAAATGAGCATCACATATTATTTTGTAATAATTGATTCCAATATTTTAATAAAAATAGCACCTTGGAGTAAAAATGCCTCCTATTATATCTTATAAGGCCTGAATTTTACAGGATTTTTATTATGCCTTTAAAAACCTGAGATCAAGGATCCAAAGTTACTTGACCACATTTAATAAATGATAAGGTAGCTTAAAAACATTGAGCTAACATATACGTAGAATAACACATAAAAAAGAGCTCAGCATAGGCTAGTCTTCAACGAACATTCATTTCCTTTGAAATCCTAGTAACTTATAAATACCCTTTTGCAACTGGTTAGGTACTAGATGTCAAGTTTTTAATCTCCTTGGATTTGATCACATGGAAAGTACTCGTTGCTATTAATCAATGTATCTGTGTACACACACACATACACACAAACATAAATACACGTGTGCAGGCCACAGCTGATTTCTAGATATTTGCCGCAGAATGAATGTGGTTAGGTATACTGGATTTACTTTCAGACCTCATGATACATGTTTGCGTTCTGAATGAAGAAATGAAGTACTTCTGCCTCTTTCCAATGTAATATTCATGCCAAGCAATCAGACCTATTTTCTGGAAAGGAAAACAAGTTTGATATCTACTGATTATACCTTCAGATTTGCCTGCACCCCCCCTCACAATATATGTGAATATTTGTTCACATCATTCACTGGCAATCATATACCATCAGAAATACTTTCCCTATTTAGAAATAAGCAAGGAATGAGATTTTCACACAAGCATACCTGTTACCCACAGGTAAACGTATGTTCAGGCATTTCAGCTATAGTAGTCTGCCTCATAGAGTTGCCCCATGAGAAATGGATTCTGTGAGTTTTGTTCTCCTTTAGCAAGAGAAGTTGGCAGCTGTGTCATGATATAAGTAGATTCTGCCCATTTGGGATCAGTTGCTGAAAGTGGGCTGTGAATGAGAAGTGAAAAGACCTTGTAGCTTAGAAGAATGTCTTAGTCCAGGTTGCTATAACAAAATACTATAAACTGAGTGGCTTATAAACAACAGAATTTTATTTCTCACAGTTATGGAGGCTGGCCAAGTCCAAGATCAAAGCCCCAGCAGATTGGGTGTCTGGTGAGAACCACTCCCTGGTTCATAGACAACTGTCTTCTCACCGTGTCCTTACATGGTGGAAGGAACAAGGGAGCTCTCCTGGGTCTCTTTTACAAGGGTATCAATCCCATTCATGAGGCTTCTGCTCTCGTGACCTAATTACCTCCAAAAGTCCTCGCTTCCAAATCCTATCACACTGGAGCTTAGAGTTCAACATGAATTTTGAGAGGACACAAACATTCAGTCTATAGAAGAAGAGAAATGATCCCCTGGAGAAGATCCTGTGAGGGTCACTGAGTAGTCCCCCTGGTCATATAAGTATAGACTAAGCAGGTGTCATTGCCCTGGGAAAGATGAATATAAGACTTTTGGTGTTTCCTATGGTTTTAAAACTCTGCCTCCACTCTGAGAAGGCAGGTGACCACTCTGGGAAATAAGTACAGTAATTTTCCATCTGAAAATGGTGGTAGTAGTCAATGTGACCCACTGCTCTCTGGGAGGTTATGATTGCTACTCAAGAAAGTTATAAGTTAAACTGATCAAACAATGATCTGAACTCATCAAAATGTCTTTGCAATGGACAAATATCCATGGAATTTTTCAAGGCCAAATCCAACTACAATACATACATCAGTGAAAAAGTAACTGCACTGGGTGGTATAAACTGACCAAATCCATTTCCCTCTACATCTGGCATTAGAAGAGGACTAATACACTTTGGAGTAAGTATCCAGTGTTCTTAGACAATTCAATTTAAGGGGCATGGTAACTCTCGAAAGAAGACACTGAGCTTCCTGAAAATAAAGCAGGTGGGACACATGAGTGATCAAATGGCTGGCTAAAAATATAGGGGAAAAATTCTGTATTTCAAGTTTGTGGGCCAATTCATTCTAGTTATGGTTAAAAAGGTGTTTTCATAATGCTACTACAATGTAAGCCTTTTGAGGATATAATTCTTTAGATATTACATGTGGCTTGTTACCTATTTTTCAATGAAGGATTGTGAATGTGTATCTCTCCTTTAATTTCGATAGATGCTTTTGAGAAGTCAGCTATCAACTTCTTATCATTCCTTCATAGCTTATTTTTCTTTTCTCTGTAGCTTTTCCAAGGTCTGTTTATCTTTATATTCTATAACTTCAATACAGTGTGTCTAGGTGTGGCTTTCTTTTTTTTTTTTTTAATCTTTATTTTTGAGAGAGAGACAGCATGTGAGCAGGGGAAGAGCAGAGAGAGAGGGAGACACAGAATCCGAAGCAGGCTCCGGGCTCTGAGCTGTCAGCAGACAGCCCGACGTGGGGCTCGAACTCACGAATTGTGAGATCATGACCTGAGCTGAAATAGGACGCTCAACCGACT